TGGATTATGAAGCAGGGCCTGTATTGAACTGAGCAGAGGATCCTCCTAGCATGAACCTTTCTTTCTTTTGAGATAGTTTTTAGAAAAATTCAAATGTATACATTCAATGTAACCACAAATAAATAAATGGACTGTATTTTATATAGCGCTTTCTCACAGTGTGTTGCACTGACCAAAGCGCTTTACAGAAGATCATACACCATTCACACAACAATGACGACAGGCTGCCATGCACCGGGGCTAGTCAAGCCACCGGGAGCAATTCGGGGTTCAGTGTCTTGCTCAGGGACACTTAGGCATGCGGGGAGACCGGGAGTCGAACCACCAACTTTCTGGTCAGGAGACGAGTGCCCTACCTCGTGAGCCACAGCCACAGTCTAAATAGAGAAAAGGCATCATGCATCTGCTGTAGCATCAGTGGTGGCTGAATGCGTTTTGACCCAGTTTGTGCATGGATAACCTTAACGGGCGGCAGACTGAGATTGGGCTGTGCTGTGCAGAAAGCAGTAGACGACTATGAGGGGCACATCTCCGGGCTAAATGTTTGCATTGAAAAATAAACCTGCAAGGATGGCCTTTCCAGGATGCGTGATCTTCCTCCCTCCGACTGCGGCCGCCGCCAAGTCCCTTCTAGTCGCGTAGGACAGCTGGTGTAACGGCAGCGAGCCCAGTCCGGTCGCGGCGGTGGCGGCGATCAGAGGAAGCTGATGGGTAGCCGAGCTCGGGCATCCTCTCCTGACACCGCAGCTCTCACACGGCCCCTCACACACCGAAAACGGCTTTAGCAGCGAGGACATTATGTCGTCCCGGCTGGTCCTAGAAAGCCACCACTGTGGTAACTGTGGCTCTCAGAAAATGTCAACAAGACGGGAGGGCGAGCCAACGTGGCGGGCCGCGGAGGGAGCATCAGTATCCAAACAGTGGGGCAGACCATTGGCTCCATCATGCAATTATTCAGTCACGTGACCAGCACTATTGACCACTTTAAAGAATATTGGGCAAAATTTATTCTATAAGTCATTTGTGCAGAATCGAACAAAGGTAGGCCTAGGTAAAAAATATACAAGCCACATGTAGCCTACTTTTAAAAAGCTAAAGTGAGAGACTGCACCAAAACTAGGACAAAATATAGGCCTAAACAATACAATGATAAATCCCAGTAATACTTAGCATATTAGTAGTGCAAATCAAAGAGATAGTGTCAGACTGCTGCATATAGTGCATATACATCTGCTTCAGAAAGTACAGAGAACCAAAAGTGACATTTTTGCCCATTAGTCCACAGTCAATAATCAAGAATGACAAAGTGAAAACATGTTTTTATAATTCTTTGGCAATATTTTGATAATAAAAAAACTAAAATTTCTCATTTACAAAGGTGTTCAGACCCTTTGCTGAATAAACTGTGTTCAGGTGCATTCCGTTTGTTTTAATTATCCCTGAGATGTGTTCAGAACCGGACTGGAGTCCACTTGTGGCAAATTGAATTGATTGACACGCTTATGGTCCCACAGTTCACATAGCATGTCAGGACAAAAATCAAACCATGATGTCCAAGGAACTCTCCGTAGAGCTCCATGATAAAATTGGGGTGAGACATGGATCAGAGCCAAAGGTATAAAGCTATTACAAACCTTTGAGGGGTCCCAGAAATGGAAGAAGAGTCGTGCAGCACTTAACAGATGGCTAATAGGATGACACCCCTACAGTGAAGCATGGGGTTGCTTCTCAGTTGCAGAGCTTTTATTTTTATGTAACCTTTGTTTTACCAGGGGATTCCCACTGAAGGTAAATGTGTCTTTTTCAAGGGCAACCTTGAAGCTTGTAGAGATTTACCTATGAAGACTGTAATTGCTGCCAAAGAGGCTTCAACAAAGTACTGAATTAAGAGTCTGAATACATTTGTACATGTAAATGGGTTGTTAAATCTAGATTGATGTGCAAAAATGGCAATTATATCAGTTTAAAATGAACTCTACAACACAGATTGTAAAAAGTGAAGTGATGTGAATACTTTTTGAAGTGATTGTAATAAAAGGGATATTGAGATAATACAAATATTTATACACATTTACACAGCTTTCAGAAAATAATTAGAAGAAATCAAATTAATGAGAATAAAAGCATAGACTTTACTCTCTTAGTAGTGTATCATGAGTCATGTAATCAAGACTGGTATCTTGCTGTTGCCTCTTGATCCCTGTTCTTTTAAATAGTGCCTTGTCATGCCAGAGTGCGTGCACACACACACACACACAGCCTTCCCCATCACCCTTAACAATGAAACTAGGTCAATGTTTCCATACACACCCACTGCCCCCACCCCATAGAGAACCAGTCAGCCACCAGAACAGATGAATTTCATGCATCAATCATTTTATTTTTTTTTGTGTTTTGTCCCCTTTGCTAATCAGCTTGTCTACAAACACTCATGTGTGTGTTCAGCGATTATAAGTGGTGGAAGACTCTGACTGAAAATTCCAGTTCAGGAGGGGCCATGTGGGTAGTGGGACAACATTTCCTCCAGCTGGTCTTCCTGCTCTATAGGGTCTTCTGAGTAGATTCTCACCTGTAGGCATAATGATCGACAAGACTGTTATCAAGTGTGTGTACATGTAAGTGTGTGTGCAGATTCAGGCACTGTGGATCCTTTCTCTCACTTTGATCTTGTTGAGCAAGTGTCTTTGTGTCAGTCTGATGTGCAGCAGCCTTCTCACAGTCCTGACTTCCAAGAGCACGTGGACAAAGAGCCTCCAGGCACTTGCACAACCTGACCAGCACCAGCAGATCCTCATCCAGTGGTTCACTGCAGTTCCTCAGGTCCAGGGACAGGTACTACAGACAGAAAAGATAAAGTAACATCATCGCACTGCCAATGTTTGATTGCAATCAATTCAAGCCTTCGTAATTGCTAATTACAATGCGTAGACTGCACAAGTGAAGACTTTGACCTGATAGTGGTACTAAAGGAAAGGGCAGGGAATCACCAGATACGTAACAAAGCAATGTTAATCTACTAATTTCCTGCTTACCTGTAGATGGGGCTCTGCAGTGCAGTGAAAATGTTTGCAAGGGGCTCTCTCATCTCTTGTGGAGTGTTTCCTCCTTCTTTGGCATCTATGCTGGAGAGCCATGAGCAGCTGATCTGAGAAACAGAAGTAACTCAAGCTCAGGTTGGGGAGGCCTCGAAGCTGACAGAAGATGAGGGGCAGCCTAGGGTGGAGATGGGCGTGTGTAGCACCAGAAAAGAAACCCTCCAAGTCTAAAGAAGAGACAGAGCACTGAGGGTATAAGGGTCTCTGTTCCACTGTACAGAAGACAACTGTTTTTAGCTTCACAGATATACAGTATTAACCATACAAAGAAAAGCAAATCCTCACCTTTTGTGAACCAGCTTGGTCAGAGCCTCCTGCATGTAACTTATTTCATGCAAACCAGGAAGGAAAACCAGCACACTGCCTTTCTCTGACAAAGGCAGGCTACTGTCTTCCTCAACTTTACTGCTCACACACAAATCAATACATAATGGAACAACATGAGGACAACAGTGTGTCTGGCCTAGCAGTTAAGCACGCTAAGACACCAAGGAATCACCTGGAATCATTGCCCTCCATCTCGTCAAAGCTCTGAATGAGACAGATGGCAAGATTGTACATCTCTAACGAGATTCGAGGGTCATCTGGATCAGGCAAAGCACCCTGGTGAAGAAGCATACTTTTTACTTTACTTTATTAGGTTTTTTTGGTCAACAAGCAAAATTAAAATTTCAATTATTACACAAAAAATAAAAACACAAACCATAAAAGTACATACATCCATTTGGACAAAAGCATGCATGTACATATACATATCCATACAAAAATAGAATAAGTTAAATAAAAACAAGATATTTATTGACCAAAGGCGTAGGCTGAAGCTAAAGCTTATTATGCCTACCCATAACTCCACACAGCAGCACTAATGGACATACATTTAAAATAAAAAATATCAAATATTCTGAATATATATTTAAGGAACATGCACTATAATTATTATTATTATTATTATTATTGAACACATCTTTTTATTATCATTCTTTTAAACTGTGGTAATGAAGTAGCCTTTTTTAATTCATCAGGAAAACTATTCCACAAATGAAAGTTATTAGATGGACAGTTACTACTTAAATTAATTCTACAATATGGTTTATTGAACATATATGTCCCTTTAAGATCATAATTACTTTCCCTCATGCTGAACATAACTTGAAAGGACTGAGGGAGAGTTTGTTGTTTTGCCTTATAAATAAGTTTAGCAGTACACAAGTCTACCAAGTCATAAAACTTTAATGTTTTCAACTGAATAAACAAAGGATTTGTTGCTTGTTTCTTGCGACCCTGTCACAAGAAATGTGTTAAGGCAAAAGGATGGCCCAGAAGTACAAGGTGTTCAGTGCTCAGAGACATGGCCAAGGTAAGGTAGCTGAAACCTGACCACCACTGAACAAGACGCATAAGTTGAAACACCAAAACTGGGCCAAGAAATATCTGAAGACAGATTTTTCAAAGGTTTTATGAGATGAGAGTGATTCTTGACAGACCAAATGGATGGGCCTGTGGATGAATCAGTAACAGGTACAGAGCTCTACTTCGAATCAGGCAGGGTACTGGTATGGGCTGGTATAATTAAACATGTTAGTTGGATGTTTCAGGTTGAAGTTGGATTCAAAATCAACTCCCAAACTGACTGCCAGCTTTTAGAAGAGACTTTCTTCAAGCAGTGGTACAAGGAAAAAGTCTGCATCTTTCAAGAAGACCATGATTTTTTTTTTTTTTATGCTCTATCGCATGCATCGAGGTACTCCACTGCGTGGTTAGCCAGTAAAGGCCTTAAAGATGAAAGAATAACAACATGGCCCCCTTCCTCACCTGACCTAAACCCTATTGAGAACTTGTGGGTCCTTCTCAAACAGGAGATTTATGGTGAAGAAAAAACATACACCTCTCTGAACAGCGTCTGGGAGGCTGTGCTTGCTGCTGCACAAAGAGTTGATTATTAACAGATCAAGGAACTGACGGACTCCATGAATGGAAGGCTTATGACTGTTATTGAAAACAATGGTGGCTATATTGGTCACAGAATTTTTTTTTATGTCAAATATTTGTTAATTTTGAGTTGTTTATTATTCTCACTTTAATCGATGAAAATAAACAAGTGAGATGGGAAATTTTTCATTTAGTTGCATAATAATTCTGCACACTAACAGTTGCCTAATAATTGTGCACACATAGACATTCTCCTAAGAAAGCCAGAACCTCACTTTCTTAAATATTCAGGTTTGTAGTTGTTCAATAATAAAATTAATCCTCAAAAATACAACAATGCCTAATAATTGCGCACAGTTTAATTTCCTGCTTACCTTTTAGATGTAGTATTAGCATATGGCTATGCATGACTATTCACATACTTTATTGTGAATAGGTCAGTGAAGAACCAACATTGGCTCTCCCTCTCTAAATCTCACACCACAATGACCTGAACTGATATGTTCCACATTGTGTTTCAGGGTGAACATTCAGTTTAACACCATTCCTCAACATCTTGCACTTTCTAATGCCGTCTTCTCAGTACACTGACCTGCAGACTGTGTTTGCACTGAGGCAGCATATTATTCAAAAGAGGCCTGGCATTTCATTCTTCTTCACGGAAAGTGATCATGGTGTATGTTGTCAGGGGAATCTCAGGCAGCAGTATCCTTGCGAGCTGGTCAGTGCTGTGCTGTAAGTGTGACTGTCAGGTTTGGGCAGCTGGATGCCTAAGCTGCCCATGAGCCACCACTCACCACCTTGATTGAGAAGATGAAGCATAGGCAGAAATGACCACTAGAAACCTTCACCCATCCCACAGCGCTTACTACCTTGTTAAGAAGGATATTTAACTTGGTGGTTAGGTTAGAGGAATGATTATAGGAATACCATCTGGACTGTTCTGGTGTGTGTCCTTACACACACTCCCTAAAGCTCTAATCTGGTTTTTCAGTGATGAACTTCAGTGCCATCACACTTCAGCCATCTAAGTAAACAGCTAAGCAGTTTTCCCACTAACAATGGTTGCTATAACCTGCTTGGCAATTCAGCAAGCGATGTTAATCTACTAATTTCCTGCTTACCTGTAGATGGGGCTCTGCAGTGCAGTGCAGTGAAAATGTTTGCAAGGAGCTCTCATCTCTTGTGGAGTGTTTCCTCACTCCTTGGTATCTGTGCTGGAGAGCCATGAGCAGCTGATCTGAGAGACAGAAGTAACTCAGGCTCAGGTTGGGGAGGCCTCGAAGCTGACAGAGGATGAGGGGCAGCCTGGGGTGGAGATGGGCGTGTGTAGCACCAGAAAATAAACCCTCCAAGTCTAAAGAAGAGACAAAGCACTGAGGGTATAAGAGTCTCTGGGAGTATGACAGGGCAGAAAGCAGCGCCAAACCCTACAGATTAAAGAATGAGGAATCTGAGAACAATCACTTTAAAAAAGTGCAGTCAGTGTGGTTGTCATGGAATATAGATTAGATGGTGGATGTTTAAAACTTCATAATGAACATTGCTGTTTTCAAGCATTACCAGATGGAGTCAGAAATTGAGTCATTTTGCTGATTTGAATGAATTTGTTCAGTTCAATTTTAGATTTGTAGGTTTGTTAGCAGCGCCAAACCCTACAGATTAAAGAATGAGGAATCTGAGAACAATCACTTTAAAAAAGTGCAGTCAGTGTGGTTGTCATGGAATATAGATTAGATGGTGGATGTTTAAAACTTCATAATGAACATTGCTGTTTTCAAGCATTACCAGATGGAGTCAGAAATTGAGTCATTTTGCTGATTTGAATGAATTTGTTCAGTTCAATTTTAGATTTGTAGGTTTGTTAGTTATTTTTATGTTTAGAAATCCTCATACTCATAAGTCCTACAGCTGATATTACTTTATCTTGTATGATTCAGTACAGTAAGTTCAGGAAGTGTTAAAGGTTGAGTTATTTACAATCTGCTGAAAGATTCTTTGAGCTGTATTCATGGTATTCACCTGATGCATGCTGTTTCACATCCTGGTCAAACAGATGTGAGCTTTCATGCCCATCTGTGGAGGAAGTGTATCAAGTTATTTATTAAAGAGTTCCTGGGCTCAAACCTCCAGGTGCACTGATCCAAGTCCAGCTCTACAAGGGAGAGGGACCGCAGTGGAGCCCTGACTCTGTGGAGACCAAATAATGTTAAATTTGCAGAGACAGTTGACCGCTACAGTCTGAAGGATAATTAACTGGAGTGTTGTGCTGTGTAAAACAAGATCTGGTTTAGATGAGCTTTTACGTGGTAAGCTCAGCAAACAGCCCACTGATGGTTCTGTTCAGATGTTGGGCTTCCATGAACTTGTGAGGGGGATGCACATAAATCTCGAGACTCTGTAGGTAGACTCCCAAGCAGTGGGCATAGCTCAGAGCAGACTGATATTGTACCTGCCTCAAAAGAGATAACCACCCACTGAAATAGAAAAACCTGTGGCACCACAGACAGGGTGAGCGCATGGCATTTGGCCAGAGATGGCAGACAAGTGCTGCACTCCTGCGGTCACAATCACATAGATGTCTGAACACGTGCCGGAGACATACATCAGGGAGTGATCCCCACCATCCGTCCTCAAATTCGGCAGACATTGTCATTGTTTTTTGGCACTGATGCAGAATTTACCTAAAAAGAAAATGGCTACGTGTTGGATTTCATTAATAGCTTAAATGTCTTATCACTGTGGCTTTAGCTTTCCGGATTAGAGGTTAGACCTACAGTACTTTAGATATCAGGAAAAGTCAAAAATATGAAAAGTAAGACCCAAAAAAATACTACCCGGTAAGTTATTATTATCATTATTATTATTATTATTATTAATAAATGGAAAGCAGAGGTTTTACCTGAAGCCACAAGGAGGAGACCTGGACAGTGTAAGGGTACCTGCCACACAGTGTACAGTATGGCTTCTGCTATGACAACACAGTAACACAGTTCTCATTTCAGTTCAAATCAAAATACAAGCTAGTTTTAATGCCACATTATTTTATTTACTGCTTCTTGAGTCATTTTAACATCTTGTTTTTGTTTTAGATAAGACAAGATCAGATAAAATGCCTATGTCATCATTATTCTTGCATATAGTGAAATTTAGTGACTCTTATCATATACATATACAACTAAAGTATAACAAATCCTTAAAACCAAAGCAACAGACAATGAATACCTTTAAAATAAGATAAGCATTGGTATACGTTATAATCAGAGGAAGAAGTGCAGTGCAAAATCTGTTGTGTGTGTATATGCAGCAGAAATGCAGTGTAATACTGTCCAGTTTGGAGAAGCAGTGCCTTTCTATCAATAGTGCTCAGCCTGTGTGTACATGTGTAGTGCAGGGGTCATAGTGTGAGTGTGGGGGGTATAGATCAGTATTATTTGCTAAGTTGCATGCTTCTTTGCTTTCTTTCTTTCTATATATATATATATGTATGTATATAAAACCAGATTGTACACTTAGATCTCCTGAAAGCTGAGAAGACTATTTTGTACCACTTTTGAGTCATTACTAAGAGCAACTGCCATTTGCAAAATTGTGAAACATTCCTTTGACTTGTTGAATTATTTGACCACCTCTTTTTATAAACTTTTTTATGCTTTTGGCTTTTCAGAGACATACCATAGTTTTCAAATAAAATAGGAAGCAAAGGGCAGCTCCCAAAAAAGTCCAAAGCTGTAGTATAAGGGACCAGTGCTGCCCAGCAACACAGCCCTCCCCCACCCATCCAGACCCCATCACAGGTCATCCCACTGACCTGAAGACTAAAGGCTGATACAGTTTATTTGTATTAGCACATTGTTAAAAGTATCACAGAGATTAAACATAGTCTTGAAATGATGAATGAGCATAGCTAAGTTTCGGTGCAAACAAACAGTTTACACCTAAAAGTACAAGCAACATTTTTTTCCAGTGACGACTCCGTTTATTTCTTTGAGTTCCTCTGCCCTTCAAACAGCAAACACTTCACCTGTGCATAAAGAAAGAAAACAGATAGAGGCTCTCTAGTACACAGAGTAGCCAAGGCTGTGGTATGTTTAGTGGAGACTGTGAGGTTGTGTAGCTTTATTAATGTCTGTATACGTTTACTATACTAACCTCGTGCCAACGTAGTGTGTCAGGGCGCAAGGCCAAATGGCAGTGAGGGCAGGTGTGTGTCTGATCAGGCCATTCCTGGTTTCTCTGCTCCCAGCAAGGCCCCTTGCTGCCCCACAGAGGGTGACATGTGGAGTGGGAGGACCAAGCAACACCAAAGTGAGGGCGAGGGTCGGTCTGGTAGGTCACTTTCTGGCCACTAGAGGGCTGTGGTGACAAAAGATCAGAGTCTTCCTGTAACACATCAATAGGGGAGGATTGTGTTATCATAAAATACAGAATATTTTACAGCTCAGTTTTATTTAGTGATGACATCCTGGAGTTGTTTCACAGACGCTGTATGAATGAACAATGCTGATTTTACTGTGACATACTGAACTGAGAACGACATGCCTTGGATTCAGAATGCATATACGTACTATATGAATACAGACTCAATACTATAGTTCACAATGGGGCAACTCCAGAAAGTCTTGATACTTCTCTATGACCATTTAACAACTTACTGGATAGTAAAGGATGGTTTATCAAATTATTTGACACGAGTATTGCTGTCAAAAGCAATAACTCAGTGTTTTACTTAGAAAAATTACGGTTGATAGAAGGTGCTAAATAAAATAATCAGCCAGTCCTTTGCTTTGTATTACTGGACCTGTCATCTGTCTAAAGCTATGAAACAATTTTTTTGTAAAATGACTTTTTTAGTTTAAATATTGTCACTTTTTCTCATTTTTCTAGGTCACACAAACATTTTTTCCATAAAATTCAAGTATAAATTTTCTGTAAGATCTGGATTTACCCTTTAATCTTATATGTACTCAAAGTGATTTTTTTTTTATTCAACACAGAAATGAAAGATGCTATTGATTCAGTTTGTCAGATGAAGAAACTTAATTCACACAGTCATTCTGTGAAACAGGTTTTCCATTTGTCATTGTAGCACTGTCATAAGGAAACAAATCAGTCATGTTGAAACCTGTTTAGGATTTTCTGGACGATACTCGGAGTCAAGAGACCTGAGGCAATACCAGCAGGGTTTAGATGAGCGATCTGTGAAGACACAAAAGCACTATAGCCTGCAATAACTGTTATACATTACACATTGGTGCATAGAGAATGTGAAGATACTGTATGTTGTACTGTGCTGAATGTTTGGACGGGGATGTCATTTCTGGAGTTACAAGCTGTTTTTACCTGAGTACATTCCTGTTTTGTTTGGCTAAAAAAAAGTGTATTAAATCATTTAGGTCTCTCGTTACTGACCGTAGCTAGCTCATAGCAGACCTAGAGATCCTGTCACCAAGGCTGACAGACTAAAAAATTACTCTGCGCCCTGATCTCAGCTCTCGGTTCATGAACTAACCTGAGCTGGCAGCTGTCAGCAGATGGTACAACATAAACACTACAGATGGATCACATTCTGTCCTGTCTATGCTAAAACTGATCACTAAAGTGGACGCTTGGATGTAGTTGAAGCATTAGTTTGTTTGTTTTTTTAATTAAGTCATAGATTTATGTCTTGCATATATCTGTGATTGATAATGAGTGTGATGCTCCAAACATGGCACATTCACCCAAACTTCAACACAGCGTGATGTTAACTTCACATTCCACTGTAGATTTAAAGAGAGAAAATAATTTTTTGCGTCACTCTAGAGCCCAGTAACCCCATAATGACAAAATGAAATATTGATTTTAGGCCTTTCTTCCAAATGTTTTAAAAATCAGCTCCTGAAATTTCTCATTTATAAACGTATTCAGATGCTCCAAATCATTGTCAGGTTGCATCCTGTTTGTTTTAAATATCCTTGAGATGTGAACTTGCTGGACTCCTGTAGCAAATTGAATTAATTGGACATAGATTAGAAAGGCACAGGCGTGTATATAGGGTTCCACATTTCACTGTGGATGTGAGGACAAAAACAAAGCCATGAAACCACAGGAAGTCTCTGCAGAGCTTCATGATAAAACTGGTGATGCTGAGTGCTATCTGAACACTTTCAGAAGCAACTCTCAAAGTCAGCTCTTTATGTGTGTGTGTGTGTAACTTACTTTGTGTGTTGGAGGGATGAGATGACACTGAAGGGCGGGTCACCTGTTCCCCCAGTGGCATGGAGGGTAATAAGAGGCAGTCAGCTTTGTCCTGTATGTCTGTGGCTATTGGATCCTCCTGTGGAAAGGAGGCATCACAGATACATACTGTAGATCCTCTCCCACCTTTATCAACCACACCAGCCAAGGGAAACACCAAAATCTTGAGAAAAAAGTATAGCCCAGCCTACAAAAATGTGTAGGCCAAATAAATAAATAGCTGTTAAACTACATATATTGAAATGTGGTCAGTTGCACTACCTAACCTTGCAAGAGAAACAAATGTAGCAAGAGGATGAGAGTAGAACTACTGGAGAATTTTCTGATAACCTGGTGAATGCAGAGTTTGTGTAACTGGAGATTTCTGAGGTTTCTGAAGGTAAATGCTTTGTGATGACATGTTTATATGTCTCAGAAAATGTAATATAGAGGTGTAAAAGATCGCTAATAGCATGTTGGCATTCGCTGTAATGTTGTTGCTATGTGATTTGCTAAGTGATGCTAATTCTATTGTATGCTGCTAATGTAAGCTAACAATGTAAGAAACATTGTGTGTGTGCCTGCTTAAGGACCTGGACCAGGAGACATTCCTTGGGTTTTTGTTTTTAATCCTGTCGGGCACATAACCTGGAGTTGTGCCACGCCTGGCTGTTGATGCCGACTGTGTGTGTTCCCCCTCATCTCATCATCCCAACATTGTCCAATAACTGGATCATCCAGCTGATTGCCCATCAAGGTTGTGAGTAAAACTGTGCACGTGCATTGACAATTTTGTTTTTGCTTGCTTAACAAGTGAAAGGGTCACTCAGTTTGAGACCACAACGCACACAAGCATCGTCCCAGGCCTGCAACGGGTTTTGTGTTCATTTCAAGGATTCTATTTTAAGTAGAAAAGTGAGTTTGCATGTGTGTGGCCCCTCTTTTATTGCATAAGTTGTGTATACATTTAATTTTTTTCCTTTTTAAATTTTGATGTTTCACTAAATTCATGTTTTGCATTTAAAGTACAGTGAGTGTGTTGTATTTTGAGTATATTAAGGTGTGAATTGGGTTTAAAGGAAGTGATAACTAGTTAAAACCTTTGGGTTAAAATATTCTTAGTGGGTGAAATCCTTATAATGCACAGTGGAGGCACCGCCATTCATTTTTGATTCAGATTAAGAGTTACAAGGGATATTCCAGTCACAGATATGACGGTCAGCCGTATTTACATAACAAACTCCCAGGCCGCCGCCCAGAGTACTTCAACACCCTTTATGACACCCTTAGTTTATCCTACAAAAGATAAGCTACATGGGTCGGGTGCAACAAAAGTAATGCTCATTTCCTCAAATTAATATTTCCTCAGAGTTAGAATACATAAGATAAATGTAAATTTACCGAGATTTTTTTTTTTTTTTTTTTTTTTTTTTTCTTCTTGCTGTCAAACCTGACCTGGCTGGACTCTCCATCACAGGCTTTACTGTTAGCCTGCTCATCCTCCTCTGGCTCCCGGGCCTCGTCGTTCTTCTCGCTGCTGTTCTGAC